GGGCTGACGTAATTTTGGGTTCCCGCCACTGTTGGTGTGGTGGATATTCGAAGTGTACCTGCGACTCCGGAAGAACTCCCTACACCCGGGTCCTGAAGTGGTAATGGTGCGTTCCCAGGCAATGGATACACAGTAGGTGTGGATTTCGTGCTCAGCCTGGTGAGCGGGACACCGACCTGGGTAGGCAACATCGAAGAGTGCTGCCAATATATGGACGGCCCTCCAAGGGGCAAGGCACGAGCAATCTCATCCGCAACTGGCCAACCCCCATGATAATTCTTCTGCAAAACCGGAGGTGGGATCTGCTGAAGAGACACTTCACCTGGAGGTCCCTGGAGAGATCCCCAAGTTGAGGAAGATGGAATCGCAGACCTTGTCGGCTGCTCTTGCTGAAGCGAAGGAAGTAATTGCCATGAGGAATGCGGTCCTGACAGCTCCTCTTGCGGAACTGGCCGAGCTTGGGGACAGCCACCCACTTCTTCTTCCATGTCCAAACACATGTCAAGAATGGCAGACAGAACGGGGTCTTCGTCTGCTGCAGGCTGTCTACCCGCCAGTCGTCGTGGCAAACTAACCCCACTCCTCACGCCGTAACAAATGCGGAACACCTGGAGAGTGACTGCCACAACTGCCAACACCGAAAACAGTCCAGCATATATTTGATGAGTCCTATATAACTTTCGGCAATTTTTCAGCGTCGAGCAATACGCTGTTTTGCCCAGGGAGCCGCTGAAAGAGTCTCGATGTCCATCAGACACGGGCGTACTGGTAAAAGTGGCGGAGGCATTGTGGATTGCTGAAGAGGGATGCATTTCCAGAATATTTGAGATTATGTTCTGCGAGAAATGCCTCTAGCTCTAGTTTTAAAAGGTGAGTGCTCGACACTCTCACCCTGGTGAACTGGTTGCAACACGCGGAACACCTGTGGGCGGGGTTGTGTGGGATGGGAGAAGCTTCCGGGAGACATATTATCCAGTGGTCGCCTGCGTGGACACCGCCGGGCGACAGCTCGCAGCCAGACCACTGACCAAAAGTAATTCTAGGCCTTTTTATGTTATGTACGCAGACGCTGCAACTAATCTCTGTTCACTTCATCAGACTCCTGTGCCCGAGGTTGCGGATTACTCCAGAACAGTGCAAAGAACCCCAGCGCAGACAAGGTACAGATGCCCTGATGCATTCTGTTGGTATATTGAAAAGTACAACTAAGATTCGCTACTCCGCTTTTGATGGTTTACCACTGCGTAACAGTGCACAGGCACACATGCGGGCCCTACAGAAGAGAAAAACTATGCTTCCCCTGAAGCGCAAGGCGTCCGAAGAAATACCACTCAAGCACGAAGCGCAGCTTATGCAATGGTGACGATTATGGGAGACTACGAAACCTTCCCTCCAGATGTGGGCACGTTCCTTAACTACGTTTTTCCGCCCTGCCCCATTACCCCAAATATACTGGGCTACCATGCTCACACCCACACCCACACCCACACCCACACCCACCCACCAACAAACCCACCCACCAACCCCCAAAACCCCCCCAACACACACACACACCACACACACACACACACACACACACACGACTAGGCACACCAACACCCTCCCCCAGTCTTCCACAATAAGACGTCGATGAGCAAACCCAACGAAACAAGCCATCTCCGTTCAGACTCACAGCATGCGATAGTAGCTCTAGCAGAACTTATCGCTCAAGCTAGCTTTCGATGGACGCTGTTGCTATGACCATGCAGTGTGCTTCAACGATAATTGCTAAGGGCTCTGAATTCATATCAATCGTGCAACCACCATTTTCCCTCTTCATTCTTTTGTACACTGCCATGTGCTACAAGCAGTGCACTCGATACATGTCAGGCAGAGGGCAAGGCACACCAACACCCTCCCCCAGTCTTCCACAATAAGACGTCGATGAGCAAACCCAACGAAACAAGCCATCTCCATTCAGACTCACAGCATGAGATAGTAGCTCTAGCAGAACTTATCGCGCAAGCTAGCTTTCGGTGGACGCTGTTGCTATGACCATGCAGTGTGCTTCAACGATAATTGCTAAGGGCTCTGAATTCATATCAATCGTGCAACCACCAT